CTGATGGACGAGGCTCCGGTCACATGAGCGCGGTCGTACGGTGGTCCACTGCTGCCTCCCATGATGCTCAGCGAGCCCATGACTGACTTCCCTCTGGACATGCCTGAACACACACACACACACACTTTAATTATTCATGTTTAATGTTCATGAACACATACAAATAACAATAAAACACTCAGAAATAATCATATTAATCTCTCACACACACACACACACACACACACACACACACACACTAGTATCTAACACACACACACACTAGTATCACACACACACAAGCATCTCACACACACACTAGTATCACACACACACACACACACACACTAGTATCTAACACACACACACACTAGTATCACACACACACAAGCATCTCACACACACACTAGTATCACACACACACACACACACACACACACACACACACACACACACACACACACACACACACAGTGATGCAGCCAGCTGTCTCTCTCTCTTTCTCTCTCTCTCTGCTGTAGTTCTGCTGGGTTCTGACCTCTCTGCATGCGCTCTTTAGTGTACCAGACGGCCAGACCATCACCGTTCAGGTTCTTCTTTCCCTGACCGTGAACCCTAAAGTGGACCTGCAGCTCCCAGTCGCTCAGGTGACAAGGCTGCCCACACACACACACATACACACACACACACACACACACATTGATTTGGTCAGATAGGTAAATATAGATACAGAGTGTAACGTTGGTGGACGATGTGGTGTTGTACTGTGGCCTCACAGCAAGAAGGTCTCTGGTTTGAGTCCCGGCTGGGTCAGTTGGTGTAGGAATTGGCCGTAGTGTATGAGTGTGTGTGTGAATGAGTGTGTATGGGTGCTTCCCAGTACTTGGTTGCCACTGTGTAAAACATTTGCTGGAATAGTTGGTGGTTGATTCTGCTGTGGCGGCCCCTGATGAATAAAGGGACTGAGCTGAAGGAAAATGAATGAATGAATGTAACGTCGGTTCTGACCCGATCAGATCAGAGCAGTGTGTGAAACAATGAAGTCTGAAGATGAGCAGAGCACATGTGTAGTGTAGTGAGCACACTAGTGAGGGATGGAGGGTATAGTGAGCACACTAGTGAGTGATGGAGTGTGTAGTGAGCACACTAGTGAGTGCTGGAGAGTATAGTGAGCACACTAGTAAGTGATGGAGTGTGTAGTGAGCGCACTAGTGAGTGCTAAAGTGTGTGATGTGTGTTGAGCACACTAGTGAGTGCTAAAGTGTGCACTGTCTCACCATGCGGCTCCATATGGCTCCCTGTTTGCTCTGCTGATCTGGAGTCAGACGAACATAATCAGAGGAGACCAGAGCGTCTCCCATCAGCTCCCAATGAGACGAGCCCGACACGCCCACATCTGCACACACACACACACACTATTAATGCACATGCTACACAATAATACACACATACGCCCTGACTATCTCTCTATCTCACACACACTCAGGTTTGTTTTTGTGAGTTGTGGGGACATGCCGTAGGTCTCCCTCATGTTTGTCCTGCACGGTTGTGTTCTCTCCCTTTACTGGATCATGTCTGTTTTCACTCTTAATTTAGTTTAATTCATTGGTTTAATTTAGTTTTAATCTTTTATTTTCTGATAAACATGAGAAGTGTTTGATTCATCAGCTTTATTAACTCCTGTAACCCATCACTGAACACACATCTGTGTGTGATATATCACACAACACGCAAACACACACACTCATAATAAATACACACCGATACACACACGCCCTGACTCTCTCTCTCTCTCTCTCACACACACACACACACACACACACACACACACACACATACACATACACACACACACACACGGTCAGTTTAAGACATGTGTAATAACACACACACACACACACATTCGTCATGACATGTCCGCGCGTGCTCTGCTCACTGATGGAGTGTGTCGTTCATCATTATTAACAGTATTATGATGTGCTGATGCTGAATGAGTGTCTCGAGCGGTGTGTGTGTGCGTATGTGTGTGTGTGTGCGTGCTCACCCTGGTACGGTTTGGACAGTGTGTACTCCCTCTTGAGGAACTCCTCCATCTCGTGTCCGTCATCACACACACCGGAGCTGAGCGCGGTGATGAAGATCAGCGCTGACGCCCAAATCATCCTTCAATTCCTCCTGATGTTTTCAAACACGTCCGCTGCTGCAGCCGCGGTCATCGAGCCCCACCGTCGCCCTCTGCTGACACCCGATTGGCTGCTGAGCTGACACGGCGACCTCTTATTTGTCCGCCGCCCTGTCAATCAAGCGTCAGCCCGCCCACACATCGGCGAACGGGACCCAGAGAATAATGATCGCAGGAGAGCTGTTAAACTCGCGACAGCCACATCTGATGATCATAAACAACATTATAAAGCCGCAATAACATCATAAACTACATTAAGCTACTGATTTTACTCTTATTTTAGTGTATACTGCCTATTTAAAATATCAGATCATTTACAAACACATTCTGCAGTTTAGTAGATCATACTGATGTGCCACTATTATTATCATATTATTATTATTATTAATATCATTATTATTATTAATATTATAATTAATATTATTATGGTCTTTTTCTGGGATGTTCGGTTGTTGTTATTACAGTAGTTTCTTCTCACTTCCGGAGTACCGCGTAAGAGTAGCTTTAGGGACTGTCATGAAATTAGCCGCCTGATAAATAACGAAAGACGAGTGTTGACTGCAGCTGGTTTGGTGTGGAGTGTGTGTAGTGTGTAGATTTGTAGTGTTTTTAGATGTTAAGTGTGTGTTTGATGTGTTGATGTGTAGTGTGTGTGCTAGTGTAGATGTGCAGGTGTGTAGATGTGTGTGTAGTTTGTAGACGCTCCCCCAGTGTGGCCAGTATGGCGCTCTGCTGCATGCGGACATCAGGATCAACAGACGCGCTGCTGAGAATCTGATCTGGAGTCAGTCCCGCGGCAAACACACACACACACGCTCGCTCGCTCACACACTCTCTCTCGCTCTCTGGAGGTCAGCATGGAGCCCTCCGCTGACACACACAGTAAACCGGTGGACATTTACCGAGACACCTGGGTCAGATTCCTGGGTGAGTCAAACACTGTCTGTAACCGGGGTAAAGCTGCTTTATATTCGCACATTCAGACTTTCCCTCAATAACATCATTTCATAAAAGTGTTATTTACAAACTCTAAATAGCGAAATCTCATTATCAGAGTACAGCAGTGTTCAGTCAAATACACAGAGGGAATGCTGTGTTCATGTCATACTGGCAGGCTAATTCAGATTGAATGTTCACAATAACACACTAAACAACACAGAGACTGCTCAATGAGCTAATGTGCGAATATTAAACCAGCGTCACCCCACACACTCTCTGACCTGCAGGACTGGCTTAGCCTGGTTAGTTTGGGTTAGTTTGGCGTTCTTCCTGGTTCTTCTAGTTAGTCTTTCAGTTTCCTGACTGAGACTTACCGTA